ATTTATATATATGGGCATATCATATATATATATGTGTGTGTGTGTAATTCTTTTTGTATGCCAGTTCACCATCCAGCGGCAAGACTTGGCGCCTGCTGAGAGCAGGGAAGCCGAAGCAGGCTAAGGCAGCCCAGAAGGACCTGGCTTCAAGCTTGTAATGGGTCAGCACGTATATCCAAAGCTCTTTTGAATCTATAATCTGGCTCTCTATACATACACACACACATATATATATATATATATATATACACATGAAAACGTGTATATATATACATACCTATACATATACATACACATACACATACACATATACATAGACATAGACATATACATATACATATGCATATACATATACATATACATAGACATAGACATAGACATAGACATAGACATAGACATAGACATAGACATAGACATACATATATATATATATATATATATTATGAGTATCTGTGTGTATACATATATATATATATATATATATATATTTATGTATATACATGTGTATTTGGTTTAGGGTGCTAGATTTATTCGCCTCCTACGTCGCAAGGACCAGGCGGCATTGCAGTGTAGTTTAGTGAAGGGCTTAAGGTTCAGGGTTCAGGTTAGGGGGAGTTTAGGATACTCATAGGACCCTCTTCCCGTATGCTCGAGACACCGGGCTTTGCTCCTGTGGAAAACTGTTTGGGACAAGTCTGGCCGGCACGCTGCTCGCGTGTCCTTGAAAGCAGTCTCATTCGCGCGATCCTGGTCTGACGCTCACGATGCTTGCTTCTGCGGCAGACATTGCGGATGATGCCCACGAGGGCACCTCGGCCCAAAAATCTGGCCGGCCAAAGCTTGGCGGCTGATGCTCATGATCTTTGCCTCTGCGCAGACTCCTGTGAAAAAGCGTGTCAGCCTCGTGGTCTGATTCTCATCATGCTTGCCTCTGCGAGGCTCGGTCAACAAGCGTCGGGGACGATGGTCATGAGTGGGCTCCTGTGAAACGGCTGATTCTCACGATGCTTGCCGCAGCCGGCTCGAGAAGCATGACCGAAGGATGGGCCTGTTGACAAAGCCAGGCCGCGTAAAGGCGTTTTGGTCAATAGTCATCGTCTGGCTTGGCTGCTTCAACTCACATGCTTCCGGAGCTTAACTTCCCACCCTCAGCTTTTATTCCGGGGCCCTGGCCGCTGCCAGCAGAAAGGCCGGCAATAGCGCCCCGGCACGTGGTCGCGGCATCGCCAAGTCGGAGGAAGCAAATCGAAGGCGAGTACTGGTGAACGGCTGCAGTTGGGACTCGATGAGCGGCAGCAGGAAGAGATCAAGGGGGCTGGCGTGGCGGGGAAAGTTGGCTACACACGGGCCACGTGGAAATCGAAATGCAAATGACGCCCTGTGTTCTGCGATGAGCTCTGTTCTCTATGTCCGGAAACGCGCTCTGAGTCCATACGCCACTGCTGCACAGCAGAGAGCCTGGTGCCTCGACCGTACCCCAGATCACTCTGCCAAACGACTATGGCCGCGGTGATACGAGCAACTTCCTTCCAAAACGTTTTGCCTAAAGCCTAAGGCCTAAATCGTAACCCTAAAAACCCTGAACCCTAACCTACTTGAGGCTCCTGTGGAGTCTGCTCTGCATGGCAGCGAGGCAAGTGAAACGACCGCTTGGCCGGCGTCCCCCTCCTCGGAGGAAGGGCCCTGCATAGGTAGAACAGTCAGAATGGGGTTACTGGGTGCGCTATAGTGGTTAGTAGGCGGCTGCTTTCCTTCAAAGGCATCGTACACTTCGAGATTCAGCCACGTATTGGACCAAGCTACGGCTAGTGGAACGCCTGCACTTCCTGATCTATTCGCTCCAAACACTGGTTCAACCTCTTCCCTCTCCAGCAGCGGCATCCTACATCTCCATCTTGAATTACCGACTTAGCTCACCGCTGTACTTTTTTCCAGCAGTTCTGGTGACACTTCGCATCCTCATCCTGAACACCGAGGTGGCTAAGCGGGACACGACGGCCAAGTGGCTCTACCGACTCGAATCAGCAAAGGCTGTGCCCAGGAAGCATCAGACACTTTTGTGTCTTCCGACAGTAACCTTGCTCTTCTGTACGTCTCTGAGAAACTGCCAGTTTGCGTCCGATGTTCCTGCCTGGTGGCAGCACTGACCTGCCTAACCGAATTCAGGCCCTCCTTGACACAAATGTCGCCGCACACTCTGCTTGGCACGCCCATACCCCGACTTGCGAGTGCAAAGGGGCCTGAATTCAAATCAGCGCGGAACGTGGCATGCGCAGTGCGGTTGCCCAAAATCTTGGTGGGATGAAGCGAGCGATGGCGGATGCCAACCAGAGGACTGTTATCTGCGCTTCATACAAAGCCAATGCTGCTGAACCCTATGACAAGATTGAGCTGGCCTGCAGACTCCAGCCAAGCTCAGTCCAGAAAGACCACATCTGCATCGATCACTGGCGGCGGATTCCTGATGCCAGCCAATGTATAAGACTGTAAATAAACGCATCTTCTCCTGCCATACACTATTGTACCATATTCTAGTTCAGTTGTATTGTATTGACTGCTCGGGAAGCAGGCTTGGAGTTGTTCTCCGCTGGGGTATATGTACTTCTACTGGTACAAGGAAGATAAGGGCATAGCACTGCTGACTGTTCCCACCGCTATCACATGACCTGTAGTCGTAGACGGCTCGACAGCCAGCTCGATAGCCAGCAACTGCAAGCAGGCCCCTTCTGCATTGGTGTAAGGGTATAGGAAGCCGAGCACAAACAAGCTGCACAAAGCGGCCAGTGAGTGCACAAACAACAAAAATGACAAGAAGCTGCATTGCTTCGGCACCTCAACCCTACGAAAAACTGAAACCCTCGACCCTCTATTCAGGTCTTGCTTGAGGAGGTCGTGAAACTCGATCCCGAATCCCCCTGAGGAAGTTAGCGCTAAGTGCAACTGTCTCTCTCTTTCTTTCCCCAGGCTTGAGGGCGAGCCTTCGCGGGAGCTGCCCGTTCTGTTGGTGGGGCTCTCTCTCTCTCTCTCTCTGTCTTTCTTTGCTTTGCTCTGGGGCGTGAGGAGTGGGCAGTCCCCACCCCCCGCTCGTTCGAGCAGCCCATCCCGCCATTTTGACTGGATGGGCTCGGCTGTACGGAACGGTGTGCACGAAAGCTGCTGGGTCCCGATGACATCCGCACAAGGTAACCCCCTAGCAAGGTGCGCGAGGTCTGTGCTCCCTCTCGAGGTTGGGGCATCTCTCTGTCGCTCTCTCTCTCCCCCTCTCCTACGACGACTACCAGACTTCGACTGTGACGACGACGACTAGTACTACTACTACTACTGCTGCTACTACTACTACTACTACTACTTCTTCTTCTACTACCACTACTACTACGACATGACGACGACGACGACCACTACTTCTACTACTGCTACTACTACCACTGCTCGCCCTTCTGTCTCTGACAAGGACTTCAAATCCTAAACCCCAAACCCTAAACCGCCTTAGCACAACACGCAAACCTCTCTCTACAACACGCAAACCTAAACCCTAGATCCTTTTTACACCTGGACTACGCATATGCCCTAGATCCTAAACCCCAAACCCTATAGACCCTAGGCCCGAGATGTCCTTTTTGCAGCAGGGCTCTAAGCCCTAAAATCCTAAATACCCCTTTTTTTTTGCTGCAGGCTTGAAATGCCTCTAAACCCCAAACCCTGACCCCTTAATTTCCTTTTTTTCCAAACCCTAATCCCTAAATCCAACGCACTTCTTCGTCAGCCTAGAGGGCGGAGGCTTGGGAGGCGAAGCGGGCGGCTCCGCTGACATCTGCACCGTGGGCCTGCAGATTTTCTCGGATCTCTGCTTTTAAGCTCAGGGCTGCTTCTGGTGATGGACAAAATCCTGCATTACTCATTGTAAGGAATATACCATAGTTCCCATAGATTAGAGTCCTTAGGGTCATGCAGGCTTTGTCCATCAACAGTATCGGGGCACTCTGAGGCTACTACACAAGGGCCGACCTCACGAGCTCCCCTAAGGTCGACTTCCCAGCCTCCAAAACCCCTTAATTAAGGAATGTTCCTTAAATTATAATAGGATCCCTAATATGATTTTAAGGTATATTCCTTAATTAAGGGGTTTTGGAGGCTCTGGGAACTTTCAGGCCGCGAAGTCTCTAAACTCACAGCGGTAAAACCAAAAGCCTACACAGCACATGCAAACGCTGAATCACGACCCTCCACGCAAAAAGCCCCAAACACCTCAAGCTCTTCCCTGAACCCAAAACCCATGTAACCCTGAAACCCGAAACCCTAAACCCCCAAAAACCCCTTAACCCTAAACCGTCTAGATCCTTTAAGGAACTCTATAGATCCCTTTAAGGAGCCCTTCAAGAACCTAAAACCCTAAAACGCTTGCAACCCAAGTCGGGACCTCGCTGTAGCCGGGCTCGGCCTTTTCAGAAGCTCAGAGCTCTCTGATACTAGCTTTCTTTTGTAATTTCTGAGAATTGTACTAATTATTACTTGTTTAAAACTCCTGAGAATTGTAATAGCTGTTGTAATATATTATTCGCATTCTGATGTTCGTAATTAGCATCTTTATTGTTATACCACCTGTAATTTTTACAGACCTCCGTGCCACCTCAGCATGCAAGCTGTTTGGTTTCTTTAGAGGGCCCTCTCTACGACTGCTGCTAGTAGAAGGAATGCCACACCCGGACAAGCCAGCAGTTGGCGCCCAAATATTTAAACCATTCAGGGCTTTCGGGTTTGGGGTTTTGCTGAAGGCTTTCCTTCATTTGGTGTCTCTCCCCCGTCTCTCGCAGACTTGGTCAGCAAATACATTGACATGGGCCAACACATGCACACAGCTGCACATGGACAGAGAAAGGAAAAATGTGAGCAAGTGGCACCTTCGGTTATCCACCGTTGACATGCACGGGGCTCGCTTTCAGACCGTGTTCAGACAGACTTTACACGTGGGCTTGACGGCGAGCTGCGACTGCCATACATGACTACTTACGATGTCTACGTCTGATCTTAAACCAAACGATAGAAACTCGCTGTGCCAGCTGTTGGACTGGGTTTGCCGGCGTGGGCGTGGCTGTGCGCACGGTCGGGGCCTGTCAGCAACGACCGCTTGCAGATTGCATCTATGCCGCCAGATCGTCTCCTACACCGCCTGTCAAATTCCGTGTCATGTCTCAGCGCTGGGGAGGCAGCCGTGGGCATGTCTGTTGGCTGCACCTCGGCAGAACATTTGTAGAAGATCGCGCTCGAACACAACAAGGGCAAGGACGGCAACCCTCCACTGAGCTCCGTGCAGGCGGTGCCTGATACGGGCCGCCTGGAGGTGCAACCTCTCGGGATTCCGATGCAGGAAATGATATGTCTGCCTTGTGTGCCGGCACCAAGGCCGCGACATCAGCCATGCCGCCTATGTCGAAAGGATTACTGCCGCCAAGATCCTCAGATCCGCACGAAAACGACACACAAACCCCTGAGATCAAGGCTCGTGAAAGAAAACTCAAAGTCGCCGCCATCCCATATGCAGAATGAATCCAAGGAGCATCCCCGAGTCTAGAAGCACTGGCATGGAGCCCCGCACCCCTATTATATATATATATATATATATATAATATACAACACATAGATATATATATATATATATATATATATATATATGTTACAAAGGTCAGTGCAGCCCAGGTGGCAGCGAAGGGGTTGGAACCTGGAGCACCGAATGGATTGGCACCTCCGCTGCAGGATCAGCGCTGACTTCTCCAGACCGATGCTACTGTGCCAAAAAATTCCTTCGTCAGCTCTGCTAAGGCTGCAAGAAGTACCATGCCAAGTTTCCCATTTGTCTCTAGTCTGTCGTGTTACTCAGTGTGCCTCGAATGTTGGCCTCTCACAACATGGCAGATCGGGCGAGGCTTCTGCGTGATACATGCAGTCTCGGACCTACAAGCGTAGAGCGATCAATGACAAGCACCGACCCTCAGTGACGCAATGTCAACTAACAGATTAGCATTTCCACCACCCCTGTAATGCGAACCTGCACTTGCACGATCACCTTCCCATGCTCAAGATTCTCCACTGAACTGTCGGAGAGAACTAATATTCAGGGCTTTTTCAACACAGCTCGCACGAGGGATCATGAAACCAGTTCCCGGGTGTGATTGTCGACTTCGTCGACTTTCTTTGCACACAACAGCGACTCTCTGTACACATAATGCCAATTTCACAGTCGAAGGCCGCAACGTGGCCGGAGTGGAGTCGAGCTCTTCCTAAGCCAGGGCAGTCGTCGAATCTTTCCTCACTTCTTCACTGCAGAATAGTCCCGTGCATCTTCTCAGAATGCATGCTGCAACGGGCAGAGTAGTCGCCGCAGCAGTTCCCATGCTTCTGGCACCCCGGGTCGCATTGACAGTCGTTACCCTGCCTGAAGCCAATGCAGCCGAAAATGGCACAGCTGCCGAGTGGCTCCTTCGGGAGGTGGCAAGTTGCCTCGTAGTCGGCGCAGCAGTCTCCCCTCCTGGCACATTCGTCGTTGCACTGGCACATTGCGGCTGGGCTGAAGGAGTCGCAGCCCAGCTCTGCACACGAGCCCGGCCCGGGTTGCGGGGCTCGGATCGGGCTGGAAGAGCAGTGTGCCGCGAAGTCCGGGCAGCAGTTCTTGTGCCGCAAACACTCGGAGTCGCACTGACAGTCATTGTCAGCATCGAATGGCCCACAGCCATAAGCCGCACAGGATGCCTTCCCCGAGCCGGAAGAAGCAGTAGCAACTCCGGTGCCGGCAGCACAGCTTGCCCGGTAGTCGCTGCAGCAGCTGCCATGATCCAGGCATGCTTCGTTGCACTGGCAGTTCTGCGCCGGATCGAAAGCTCCACAGCCATAGCTCTTGCAAGAGCCACCGCTCGCTTGATGCGGGCAAACAGAACGGTAGTCCGGACAGCAGTCGTCATGTTGCATGCAAGATGGATTGCACTGGCATCTCTGACCGTCCACATAGAGCTCCTTGCAGCCATAGCTCTTGCAAGAGCCACCACTCGCTTGATGTGGGCAGACAGCGCTGTAGTCCGGACAGCAATCATCGTGCCGCGTGCAAGAGGGATTGCACTGGCAGTTCTGACCTTTCACATAAAGCTCCCCGCAGCCATAGGCCCTGCAAGATCGTGTGTCGGCGCTCTCAGCGCCCTTCGTGCCACAAGACTCTGCGAAGTCGTGGCAGCAACTGTCATGGAGAGTACAATCAGAGTTGCACTGACAGGGCCGTTCGGGATCGAAGTCGCTGCTGCAGCCGCGAGTCGCACAGCTTTCGCTGTGAGATGGCTTCGAGTCCGTGGGCTTCTGCTGCGGACGCGGTGGCCGACGCGGTGGCCGTGAAGTGGTCTCGGTCTGCGACTCGAAGCCTCCCTCAACGACCACCGTTGTCCGAAAGGCGCCTTGCGAGTCGAAACATTCGGTGCGGTAGTCCGAGCAACAGTCTTCGTAGCGATCACAGCCCGGGAAGCACTGGCACCGTGCACCGCTCCTGAACACCGGGATGCAACCCTGATCCTTGCAGAGTTGTGCAGCAGCGGAAGCAGCGAGTAGGGCCAGAGCGCAGCGGCCCGCCATGGCCATGCCTCAGCCTAAGCACCTCCAAACGTGAACTAACAGGCCAACATCTCGAGGGTCCAGGGTCGCTAGAGATCCGGGCCTGCTTACTTGAGATGGTCAGTGTAGTCGCTGAGCCGGTGCGGCTTGAGCCCTAGCCAAGGAGTCTGGCAGTGACAGCTTCCACAATTGCCCACGGAGACCGACAATCCGAGAGCCGCTTTTGCACCCACATGCCGGGACCTTCTATCAGTCACCTCAACGACTACACCCAAAACCTACGGCCTTGACACATCTGACATCAACGGATTCCTGCCTGGAGCACCGAAGGGGTTCGCACCAGCGGCACCGCCCGGTGGAGTCTGGGCACACTTTGAGGTGACGACTGTCACACCACTGCACCAAAGGCTGGTGTGCGCTCAAACAGTGACACTCCCAGCTTGGCGGGCTAGAAGGGTGAAGCAAGCAAAAGACCCAGAAAGTGACAGTTCTATTCTTGTCTTGTTATCTTCTCCAAAGCAACTTTTTAAGGCTGAGTGTTTAGCTCCGTCCTTGCCCCCCCGGTAATGATGAGTGCTCTGGCTACCAAAAGTTGAAAAAAACTGAGACAACAGGCCGCTAATCCAACATGTTTATCTTCATGGACCATTGCTGTCTGCTCGCCTGACATTCTTCGCAGCTTTTGCTTGGTTAAAAGCATCCTCAACATCCAGCTGCGCTTTGAGCAAGGGCTGCACGTGCTTGAGAGCAAACCGAAACCGGAAGCGGGGCCCAAAGAATCCCTGGTTCTGGACCGATGTCAGAATTGCACGTATGCGTGCACATACGTCACACACCTAAAGAAACCAAACATGCGTGCGCCCACACCCTCGCGCGCACATCATACATGCAGACGCTTGCATTGCTGATACCCAGAAAAGCATCAGAAGTAGGCGCGCCACGAACATTTGCGAAAAATCCGGTGGGAACTTCGCCTGCCGTGGGTTTTCAGAAAGAACTGGAGCGACATCAGATCCGGGAACTCTTGCTGCCTTCCCCTTTGCCACATTGATGAGGTAGCCGGTGAGCTTGAACAAGTAGTCTACCTCAAGAGAGCACAGATCGCGAGAAGCTGCCCCACCCCGAGTTGCGATGCCGTATGCCACTATCACAGCGTCCAAGGAGCGTAGATCTGAGTGACGATGTATGCACGCCCACGAAAAGGACTCCTGAGCGGACCCGCAAAGGCACTAAATCACTGGTACATGGCGGCACTACACTCTGGCAGCACACGTCGTAATGCCAACGAACCAGGCTGCAGTAAGCCGGCATCGAACCCTTGACAACCTGACCCTGTAAGGCAACCCAAGAATCCCAGTGGTTCAGGACGCGGCTTATCGAGTACTCGAAGAGGCACTGCCAGCATGTCGAAGTAGGATGAGGCCCTGAGATTCTCATTGCGGAAGATGCCGCCATGATCGCAGTCATCACTCAGGCGGCAAAACCTATTTGTGAAACGACTGTTCCTCACTGCCGCACTCTCTTTCGCTGAAGCTTTTTGAAGAAATCCCTATCTCAGCAACTATGGGTACATCGTCATTGCCAAAGCTTCCTTCCAGCTGGGCTGCAGCTTGCTTTGACTCAGTTCTCGGAAGGTCTCTGAAAAAGCCATGTGCGACTTAAGAACAGCTGCAACTGCGGCATCTGCCGGCTTTCACCTCTACTCATTCTGGGATGTTTGTCCTCCGATGCCATTCAAAAATCTCGTCTTGTCCTGGCCCAATGGATGCCCTCGCGAACAGAAGGAACAGACTTCGAATTCCACCAGCGCTTGTGCCAAGGAATGTTGCCACGACGGAAACCAAAAGGGCGACTAGAACGCGGCCCTGCTCCGTGACTTAGCGAAAGCCTCGCAGGTCTAGCATCTTGGCGATGCCCAGATGTGACTCAGGCCCTGGCATCATCCCACTGAGCAGACCCCACCGCCTTAGCCCCAACTGTTTTCCGAGGTTCCTGTTCTGCAAAGGCTTGGAAGCTCACAGTGGCTACACAAAAGCACCGCAGCCCATCTGGGAGTTTCCGAAGAATCCTACTATTTAGGTTGCTGTGGCTACACAAAAGCACCGCAGCCCATCTGGTAGTTTCTGAAGAATCCCACTATTTAGGTTGCTATATTAGAGTCCCCTATTTTCGGAAACTCCCATCTCACAACTGGGGCAGCGGCCCCACCCAGCCCCTGTGGAAGCAGTACAGGAAAAAGGCCACCAACCTCAAGGTCGGCACTGCTTCTCATAACATGCAAGATATGATGTGCACTATGCAGTTTTTAATATACAGTATATCATGCATATTCTATGATACATAAGATATGCTGAATACTATCCTCTCCGCCGAGGTTTGGCTCTCGGCGAGCATGTGTTTAGCCACTCCAAGCATCATTAGGGATCTGAATTCGGAAGGTTATTGGGTCTTCCCCATGGTCTTTCTGGACTCGCTGTGCCATGCAGACTTGTCGATTAGGTGCTGACGCCGCAGGCCCCGACCTATCCACATCTCATGGCGCCTTCTCTAAGTGGCCGGCACCGGTCGCTTCATCTTTTGCAGAAGTGGGAACTTGGCAGGGGAGATGCACCGGGGCTGATGAAATGGCGCAGGAAAATGGAAAGAGCTGGACCGCTAAAGCAGAACCCAACCCGATGTCCAGCCTTTTAATTGGCGCCTGCAGTGTCGACACAAGACATCAGAGGTCGCCACCTTGTCCGTGAAGAAGCTGTCGGAGGCCTGCGACTCAAGAAGCCGTCACGATCTTGATTCGGCTTCGATGCAGCGGCCTTCTTCTTCGGCTGCCCAGCTCCCGCACCCATGAGGGTGGCGAATGGATCTGGGCACACCACCATGGGATGGGTGCAGCATGCACTCAATCAATTGAGTGCGATAGCTCAGAAAACACTCTTTTTCAGCGGTTGCCTCAGCCGACCTCCAAAATTCGCTCCCCGGCACTACTGGCCAGCTGCTTACAGTGCACACTCAGCACCAGAAAGAGCTCTTTCAGGGCGACGGCCGAGCCCACCACCGCGACCAAGCGGCCCAAAGCCTTTGCAGTTCCCATGGCAGGTTCCTACTGGCCCTTCATTTCTCTCTATCTATTCACATGTCCACATAGACTAAATGGAGCCAGGCGGCTGAGCCGAAGGACGACAGGTAGGCCACCAGCATGCCCAGTTGCCATGCACCTCCTGGGACGCCAAATACTTGAAAGCAACCTTAAAAGCAATGAAGCCTAGAATGCCCAGAAGCGCAACCGCACACGATATACGCGGGGTAGGTACTAGAAATAGAAGCCTGTAGCTAACGAAGCAACTCGCCCATCGCTGAACCACAGCCTTCACCCACTAATCCTTCGCACAGTACTAGACGAAGACATCGTGCCCAAGCTTTTGCATGCTACCTACTACTGCTACGGCAGCTACTCTCGCCCTAACACCATGTCTTGGTCTGCAAGCAATTGAAATTTCTACCGACGACGACGACGACCATCACGACCACGACAACAAAGGCCGCGACGGCCTCGCTGTTTCTACCACTGCTGCTGATGGACAACATCCAGCACCAGCCATAATCAGGGATGCACCAGGGATGCACCAAATCTTGATAGTCTAGCGCGGTTCGGACAATTGTCTGTAACAGCCAGTGGGCCAGATGCCCAAGATGCCTACGATGAGACCCACTACGACGACGACAACTACTGCCAGCAATCATCCGCCTTCTCCTACTCTTGTTACTGCAAGTGCTCGCGCAAACGCCACAGCCACACGTACTGATGCTGCTCCTGCTATGACTTCGGCGATTCCTACAACTAGATACTAGAAACAGCACCAACCACGCCACTACGATCACGTTTGTAAGTTTTCAGGATAGTGATCTTCCTCACTCGTGCTGTTCCGAGCCTTCGTGGCCCCAGGCTTCGCTCCACTGCCTGCGGAGGTACAGGGCAAAGCCCACCACAGCCAGGCCCATTCCTCCAGGAATCACTAAAGGGGGTTAGGAGTTAGGGTTTAGGGCTACTATCATTATTGTCATAATGGTGGACCCGGCAATGCTACTTGCAAAGCCCAAGGAAGTTGCACATTCGTGTGCTAGCACCAGCAGAAACAAGAGCCATCTTTGAGATGTAGTTGTCACCGTCATTGTAGCAGCTGTCACAATTATGAGATTTGCTCATGGCCGTTCGCATCACGCTGACTACAGCAACCAGGGCCGCAGTGGCAGCAGTAGCAGTTGCTTACAACCTAACAGATTCACAAGCAGGGATCGGGGGATGCCCGACAAGTCAACAAGTTTCATGCCCACCTCCGCACAGCAGAACTCGCAGAGGCCGCACTAAGAGCGCATGCAACCATTGAATCATCTGAGAAGGGCTCTCGCAGCAGCTTTCGAAGTTGTGAAAGTCATCCCAGCACTGCGGGTTGCCGGGGTGGCCTCTGCCACAGCAGAGCCTGTAAGTGTAGCCGCCCTGCCAGCAAGCCGGGTTGCCCTGTGCCTTCTCCTCTGAAAAAAAGAACCGCACAGACGCCGAAAGCCGAAGGTGATCCAGGGCCCAATCGACCAGCCAGGGTGCCAGCAGGTGGCAAAGCAGGCCTCCCACCAAGGCCCCGACAAGGAAGACACAAATGGTAAGAGACAGCTGCATGCTCGGAGCTAGAAGCACGTCCGCCAGCCAAAGACGTTGCAGGCGGTACTCGTAGTGGCACGCATCACATCGATAATAGGATCGGGCGTTGCAGGAGGCTGCACGCCAGCTGTTCAGACATGAGACATGCACGAAACGCATACTACCCGTGCACTTGCACGGGCTGAAGAGACGCCCGGTCTCGGCTGTTTCCGCTGTCTCGAAGCAGATTCGGCAGCAGGGCGCCATGCCATCTGCCTGGCTTGCCTGCCCCACTGGTTCTGCCTTCGATTCATCTGCCACTGTGGCGGGCTGCGGCTCCAGCGGGGGCTCTGTCGCCTCTGGCTGACTTGGAGGTTCCTGCGCATCAGGCTCTGCATTCGCCGCGCGCTCCCTCCAAGCCGCGGCACGCTCCTGCCGCACCCGTGCTAGGTCGTCCAACCCTGCGGGCTCGGCCATAGCATAGGAGACTTGGCACACTCGCGAACGAAGAGCCTTGAGCCAAAGCTTGCCACACCTCTTTGCAAGACAGCCGAGAATCAAAAACCACACACGCCACACCCTGGCTGAGGACGGGGCTCTCCATGCCAGCCTCAGTTGTTTCCGCGCAAGCATCTAGCATGCGTTCCCACAAGGGACTTCACCCAACAGCCTCAATAGGCCCAAGCCCCGACCTTCTGTCTCCGATCAGTTAGGTCGCCCAGATCGGGGCTTCACCGCCACATAGTTTTGTTATCACCCCGACCAGTCAAGCAGCAAGAACGATCTCAAACAGCAACGTGTATACAGCACATGGATAGACAGACACCCTGAGTTGCAAACACCTTGCTAGGGAGTTACTACTGACATCAACACTCAAGACTCATGACAAAGCGGGGCGACAAGATAATCATAATCAGCATCACCATCGGGGCGTGCCACCGTGATGTTGTAAAGTCGATTGGGGAGCCCAGTTCCCTGAAGCAAAGCCCCTGCCATCTACCGGGCAGTGGACCTGGCCAGCACCGCCTGTCACAGCGAGGGCTGCGAAAACTCTGTGCTTGAAGTATATATATATATATATATATATATATTCATATTTATGTTAGTTAAGAACATTGTATAGTAACGCATACTAATATGTAATACTACAGGTTCCGGTGCCACTGTTGCTTGTCCCGGTGTTGGCATACCCTACACGTTGGCAGCAGTCACTTAGCCTCTAGACTTGTAGCCTCTGCAGTACACAGAGTTCAATCAACTTCAACCCTTTAATGCTGGAACCCCAAAGGGCTGAACAGAACCCTCCCTCACCAGCCTGGAGGCGTAGAAAAATCCCCGCCCAGCCTGAAGGTTTTCACGTGAGCAGACATTTGGGTGTAAGCATTTTTGCCGCGCCTGACCGGCACTGAAGATTGTGGGGTTTTCGGGCTCGTCTTGGGATTTGTGGTTGAGGATATGGGCCGTGGAAGACCTGTACTTTGAGTTACACAGCAAGTCAATAAGCACCATGAAGGTGGAAGCAGAGAAGCAACCTTTCCCAAAGGTTTCCTGAAGATACGACAATGGAAAGTCACTAGTCACTGAACACACACAAAACTGAGTTGACGGCAGCTGCTTCATCAGCTCCATGGGATCCTGCAAACAATGAGTCAGGACGTGGCACCCTAACATTCGAGCTCGGTCACCGCACTTCAACTTAGCAAGAGCCATGTGCACGTGCCAGATCTCCCCCACGCATGTTCCTTCGCAGATTTCGGCTACGACAAGCTCCCCTTAATTAAGGATTATACCTTAAATTATAATTGGATCCCTAAGATGACTTAAGGAATATCTCTAGGTCTACAGTAAATGCTTCGCCGGGCCTGCTCCTCGTAAGGGGATTTCGGTGCCTGGCAGAAGATCTGTCCCATCTGCCCCACATGCCGCGACTCTTCGAACCCCCCGTACCGACCACCACTCTTCAAGAAGCAAAGCAAAATTAAGTGTGCGACAAGACGGCCCCAAGGTTTCCTGCAAGAAGATGCCTCTTAGCACGCAACGACCTCTTCCAAAATTAATCCTTGTGGAATTGGGCTGTACAAACACATTTGAAGGAAGCTCGGCTTTGTGGGCGAGCCGATGCAAGTGCTGAGTTGCCTTTGCCTATTGGACCGCTCCTGCTTTCCGTGCTTGAGCTGGCTGAGCTGCAGTTGTGGAGTGTAGCTGGGCTGCCTGCTTTACCTTGTGGCGGAAGCAGGTGCGCGATCCAGAACTGGGCCTCTCCTGTGGAGCCCGAAAAAACACAGGCGACACCGCCTCATCGTCGAGATGCTCCTTTCCGTCCCGTTGCCGGCGGCCCTTTCTCTGCCGGAGATCTGCATCCCCTTCTTGCGCTCAAGATCACGTCATAAAAGGCTGCGGTGGCACGACTGTGGCAGCAAAGTGCAAAACTTTGAGTACGTGGATGAGCAACATATTTCTAACATGGCGGCCGTGATAGTAAAAGTCTTTATTCTGGCTCGCATTTGACGGAGGATATATCTGATTCTGTGCCACTTTCTTGCACACCCCAACAAAACAACCCGGACACTGAATCCATAAACGCTTTGCAACTGGACTGAGGCGACTCCCCCAGGACAAACACTTCTCCACAATCACTTAGTGAGTAAGCGACTCGTACGCTGAAGCCAAGCATCCGGAATCCCATAAACCCTGAACCCGATAAAACTTGCACGCAAAACCCTGTATCTCAACCATTCTTGCTACATATATATATATATATATATATACAGATGTATATGTATCCCTGAACCCTAAACCCTGCTAAACGCTGAAGTCGCCTGGGAGCCTTTCGCGCCATCTTTGCCCTGAGCAGGATAAACAAGAGCAGAGAATATAACTTTTCGCCTATAGCACAGCTAGTGTGTGTATATATATATATATATATATATCCATCTATGTATCTATCTCTGCGTGTGTGCGTGTGTGTGCGTGAAAAGTACTACAAAGAAGAAAAGAAGAAGACTCATAAATACATGAGTGTTTCCTATTTTTCTTTATTTCAATCTGATTCTTCGAAGTATTACTATTGTTGCTATAGTGCACAGCTCTGGGTCCGGTCGTCGGCAGAGCCGGCCGAGCCGATCCTACCAGGCGAAGCTACTCCTGGCAAAGGCTCGTGGCAGTTCATCCCAACTCTCTTAGCATTTTGAGGGCTATAAACATATTGGGAAAATATGTTCCTCAATATGCTTAGTGCTAGGTTTTAGAGCCGACAAAAACCTAGTTTGTGGTTCGAGAGTTGGGGGTTCGAAGAGCTCGGGACATTTAGCAGTCGGCCTGTGCGGCACCACGGCCGCTCCTGCGAGAGCGCCCAGCCTTGAGTTGATCATCAATAGAGGATGGAATTAAAATTTACAAGGGGCCCCCACCCTGTAATAGTGGTATGATAGGAATATAATAGGGCTCTAATATAATCCTTATAGTCACTATTACAGGGTGGGGGCAGCTTCTAAGGTATGATGATAACTATAGCTACAAGTATACTCATCATGATGATGGTAGTAATAGCAAAGGCAAACAACCATCGAGCCCTCACAGCCTGCACTCCTTGCTATTAAGGAAGAGCTTCTCTTGACAACGTCTGAAGCATAGACCTGGTCTTTTTGGCTGCTATTTTCAATACGAATAACAGTAACTATAAGGAATAACACTAATAATAGTAATGATAATAATATTTATTATAATACGCTGAGCCCCGTGACGTAAGTGCATTCTGATTCGCAACCCTGTATTATACGACATGAATGTTGGCATCGATCACGCCGCGCAAGAATGCGAGTCGCCGAAGCCGAAGACCGTAGAAGCGAGCTTCTATAGAAGCGAAGGGCGGAGCGCCCAATTTTGGCAGACTCCATGCCAGACTGCGAGATCCCCAGCCCCCAACCCACAATTGCCTGCTGCAAAACCCAACCCATGCTAAGGAGTCTCCCACCAAACCCAAAACCCCCAAAGCAATGTGTAGAACATGTAGGCATTATGCAGATACCATAGTCGGAATGCAGCACTGCTGGCATTGAGGTCGCATAAAACCAACTCTCGGGATCCAGACCCTTACGGCACACGCCCGAGTGTCTGCCATCCGCCTGACGGTAATGGGGCTTCGTTGTGCATGCAAAGCTCGTGTGCAAGGGTCTCTTGGGCTTCTATGTAGTCAAGGTTTCACGTTGGATTGTGCTACGGCCTTCGCAGTGTTGGAACGGCATAGATTGGTGAAGTGTCTTGGGCAAGAGGCAGTGATGGCACAAGCTTCGGATCTGGGATTTGCCATCTTGCCCAACGCTGTACGCGTTTCTGTTTGGATGCCTGCGTGAAGAACCGTAGCTGTAGCCCCAATCCAGGGTTAGCTTTGACCCAAAGGTCCCTTATGGGCTTTAAGAAACTACGAGTTTTGCGCTGTGGCTTCGAGAACAGTCACTTCAATCCACTTTTCAACGGGAGCTCCTACTGGCAAGGCCAAACTTTGTTGGATTTTTTGTGAACAGACCCATATGCAAGGGCATCCCCCTATCGGGCATGCCACAGGCAGTCATGAGTACAACTTCGCTGAAAACAAAGGGATACGTGAAGTTCGTCCTGCAACGTGACGCTGGGACTCTACTGCCATTGTGTTGGTTTCGACAGTAAACTATATGCCAATGTCGTGTAGTGACGTTGCCTGTTCGCCACAGCGCCCGATACCAAAACCGCTGCGGAAGCCGCAAGCGCAGACGACACACCTTGCTGCAGCAACTCGTCCCAGACTCTTTGTCTTGCATGGCAGGCAGGCAACGTGTTATGGGGTCCAGTCACGGCGTGCTTCGGTTTGGGGGCTGCTGACATGGAAGGAGCAGTCGTGTCCTACTTGCAACTTGACTCAACGAAAGCAGCAAAAACCAGGCACCTCGGCCTCGCTCCAGAACTTCGCGCTTTGCCAACCCGCGCTTTGAGGGAAGCCTATGCGGGAACTAGCAACGGTTTAGGGTTTAGGGTTTAGGGTTTACGCTCTCACAACTCGGACGAAGGGTTTAGGGTTTAGGGTTTAGGGTTTAGGGTTTTGGGTTCAGCCATCATACCCTCAGCCGAGAACCATGTTTCAAGGAAAGCCTTAAAGTCTCAGGTGCATGGAATCGGCCTCGCGACAGAGAGCGTAGACGTTGCACCCACGGCAAACGCCTGCTTGAATTGGAACAGGGATGAGGCTGTGTTGGGAGCCCATGCGAGTCAGGATCGTGAAGGTGCTACCTACAAATAAAGCACCAGTGAATGGATTTGCACCATTCCATAGACCCAACCTCGGGGAGGAGCGCCATTGCACAGCAGACACTCTTGCAAAGGAAACTTCCACGTTGAACTGAAAGAAATTTGCTGAAGCTCACTCTTCGAAGCTGCACAGATGAATTCTTGAACGACGAAGTAACTCTGCGTTTGATTCCATTCGGTACGGGTCGACGTTGTTCTTGTGTGTCAAGAAGCAACATGACACAATTCACGAGCCAAGAAGGCAACAGCTGCACCGTTCCGATTCCACAACTTACCTTTTGTTAGTAGGGATTCAAGAATGGTAGTAATAGTTGTTATAATTGTACCTAACCAAACGTAAGGCAAGGCACACAGAAAGGTCAATTCCTGCTCATCCCGGCACTCGACCCGAACCGCCAAGGCTAAAGCAGCTTCAGCTCATGGCCAGTAACCAAATTCCGCACAACTCCAAACCCTTCCTAGGGTTGATGATATAAATCCTGCATTGCCTTGAGGACCCTAAACTATGGGAATTATAGCATATTCATATTCCTTATTATGGGTCATGCAGGATTTATATCATCAACCGTAGGGTTTGACTCCAAAAGCAGCCGCCCATTTCCGGGGAATCTCTAGAAAAGCTCTTGCGCACGCCGGCTTTGGGCGGCTCTGCGGTCTTCGGTCCCTCGAATACAAACAGCTGCCGCCAGTATTTGACGGCCCTGTACAGTTGCGCTGCGAAGGAGGAAACGTGGAAGAACAAGTTGCTTAAAGAGATTGCCCTTGCAGCCACTATGGCTGTGGCATTGTTGCACCTTGCCCGGTTCAACAGTGGTCTGCCACAGACGCAGCTTTTGCTGCCTACAGAAGCTAGAGTCAGCTAGAGCGAGACATATGCTGTAATGGTGCCTAACACCCGGCCGTGGCTTTGCAGGAGCTGCACCTCTTCTCACGGCAGCGAATGGTTTCTCAACAGGTGCTTGAACGGCGTGCGCCCTGACAGCAGAGCTTCAGTTCCACCATGTGCACATGTTCTTCTGTGAAACTAAGACAACCACAATCATCCATGAAAATCTCTGCGCCAAGATCCGCTTGTTGCACCTCATGCTATAGCCCCTTGCCAAAGCAAAGCGCATCGCTCACAGGCGTTCCCGATGTAGCTTCTTTTCGCCCGCAGTTGTGGTCAGGCAGAGTGGGAGTCGAGGTCAGACGCACAAGATGCGCTCTGCCAGTTTCAATGGCGAAGAATGAGAGCGCCGAGTGCAAACCACAGCTTTGGCGAGCACAGGATGACAAGAAGACACTTAACCATTCCTGCTGACCATTTTGTGGTATTCTGCGAACCAAATGATCTCTACATCGGAACTTCACACCTCATGCTCCATCGCGGGGCACAAAGGCCGGCAAAGAAAGCCATGCTTAGGAAGTGCAGCGAGACTGTTGCGCCCAAAGAGAGTGCAGCCGATTCTATCTGGACCTTGAACGTTGCAGATCCTGAGACAAATCACAAAGATGCTCTTGTACAAATACAACATCACTATTCTGACATATCATACGAATCATGATGCAACTTAATATGATTGCTTGCGTGGCATCAGGCCGCATCCTCTCCTCGATGCTTTAGCAGCGAGGGGGAAAGCTACTATGTGTCCCGGCAGGCACTGAGACGACAAGCCCTGGTTCCTATCTTATGAGGAAAGGGAGACTGATGGCTGTGCAGAAAAGGTCGAATCGAATGTCGTGAGAATCTATGTTGCGTCTTTGCGTTCAGTGCCGGGGATCCAACTGTTACCAGGGGCTCAAAACAGGTGCGAACGTAAGCACAACGATCCTGGCGCATGCGTCACATGGCAATTCTCTTTGCCAATGGAAGGGTGGGAGGTGTTGGTAGCCTGCAGGGCCGTTTTCCCTCCAGTTTTGCCATGCCTTTGGCCATGTGGGCATCGGGTCTTGGCACCCCGGTATCCGAGCTCCAAGTCTGCCCTTCTGGCCCTTGTTCCCCGTCTGATCTGCAGCTTTTGATTTGCAGTGTGCTCCTCCGTGTGATGTCCACGGCTGAGCCAGAACAGGACAGGCCCGAGCAAAATTCCACATGCCTATGTTCAAAGCATCCTCAGCCGTTCAGTCAGCCTTTGGCCCCATCATCTTCAGGCGCGCATTCCTTAGATAGTTTTCGCGGATCTGAACAGGTCAGCAAGCGGCAAAGCCTTCTGCGATGGGTAAGGCACTGGTGTTCGAAGGTAGCTCTACTCACTGGAGTCTTGCATACTAAAAAGCACGAGCATCACCACAAAAGCGAGTTGTGGGCCAGGCGTTGGCGCGAGTTTTCTGACACGGCTGCTTCGGGTCCCGATATGCATCGAGTAGTGAGCACAAGTTAAAGTCTTATGATGCTCTGCGACCACGGAGCTCTTCCCTCATTGCCGCATTCTCGCGCCTATCGCACCGAGGACTTGGGAGAATTACCACTACAGCCGCTGCATTTGTGCATCAGCACGTGGGATTCTCTCCAGAGGGACTCATCATGCCTGGATAACATCGCGAGTTCGAGGCTTTGACACCACAGGTCTGATCTTTGAGGTTGTGGACTACATACTCCTTAACTTCTGACAACAGGATTTTTAACTGAGTCGAGAAACCACGGCAACTGAAACTAATCCCCAAACCCCAGACCTCTGAACCCAAAAGCCCTCAAACCCTCGAACCCCAGGAGCCTGAAGCGCTCATTGCGCTCCCGGATCTTCTTTTCAAGGTCCGCCAGGCTCCCACCAGCGAGGTCCTGCAAAGGGTCCTTCGGCACAGGTGCTCCTCTGCATTTCTGAGTTTAAACGTACTTGTGTGTGTGTGTGTGTGTGTGTGTGTGTGTGTGTGTGTGTGTGTGTGTGTGTGTGTGTGTGTGTGTGTGTGTGTGTGTGTGTGTGTGTGTGTGTGTGTGTGTGTGTGTGTGTGTGTGTGTGTGTGTGTGTGTGTGTGTGTGTGTGTGTGTGTGTGTGTGTGTGTGTGTGTGTGTGTGTGTGTGTGTGTGTGTGTGTGTGTGTGTGTGTGTGTGTGTGTGTGTGTGTGTGTGTGTGTGTGTGTGTGTGTGTGTGTGTGTGTGTGTGTGATATTGTGTGATTGTGTGATTGTGTGATTGTGTGATTGTGTGATTGTGTGATTGTGTGATTGTGTGATTGTGTGATTGTGTGTGTGTGAGTGTGTGATTGTGTGATTGTGTGATTGTGTGATTGTGTGAGTGTGTGTGATTGGTGTGTGAGTGTGTGATTGTGTGATTGTGTGATTGTGTGATTGTGTGATTGTGTGATTGTGTGATTGTGTGATTGTGTGATTGTGTGATTGTGTGTGTGTGAGTGTGTGATTGTGTGATTGTGTGATTGTGTGATTGTGTGAGTGTGTGATTGTGTGAGTGTGTGAGTGTGTGAGTGTGTGAGTGTGTGAGTGTGTGAGTGTGTGAGTGTGTGAGTGTGTGAGTGTGTGAGTGTGTGAGTGTGTGAGTGTGTGAGTGTGTGAGTGTGTGTGTGAGTGTGTGTGAGTGTGTGCGTGTGTGCGTGTGTGCGTGTGTGCGTGTGTGAGTGTGTGCGTGTGTGAGTGTGTGAGTGTGTGAGTGTGTGAGTGTGTGAGTGTGTGAGTGAGTGAGTGTGTGAGTGTGTGAGTGTGTGAGTGTGTGAGTGTGTGAGTGTGTGAGTGTGTGAGTGTGTGAGTGTGTGAGTGTGTGAGTGAGTGTGTGTGTGTGGGTGTGTGTGTGTGGGTGTGTGTGTGGGTGTGTGTGTGTGTGGGTGTGTGTGTGTGTGTGAGTGTGAGTGTGTGTGAGTGTGAGTGTGTGTGAGTGTCTGTGTGTGTGAGTGTGTGTGTGTGTGTGAGTGTGTGTGTGTGTGAGTGTGTGTGTGTGAGTGTGAAAGTGAGTGTGAAAGTGAGTGTGAGTGTGAGTGTGAGTGTGAGAGTGAGTGTGTGTGAGTGAGTGTGTGTGAGTGAGTGAGTGAGTGAGTGTGTGTGTGTGTGTGTGTGTGTGTGTGTGGGTGTGTGTGTGGGTGTGTGTGTGTGTGGGTGTGTGTGTGGGTGTGTGTGTGGGTGGTGTGTGTGTGTGTCGTGTGTGTGTGTGTGTGTGTGTGTGTGTGTGTCGTGTGTGTGTGTGTGTGTGTGTCGTGTGTGTGTGTGTGTGTGTGTGTGTGTGTGTGTGTGTGTGTGTGTGTGTGTGTGTGTGTGTGTGTGTGTGTGTGTGTGTGTGTGTGTGTGTGTGTGTGTGTGTGTGTGTGTGTGTGTGTGTGTGTGTGTGTGTGTGTGAGAACCTCCCTAGCACATGGGAGCAGAGGGTCACTCCTACACTGTTTGCAATTTTGCCTTTCAACATAATCCGACATTTGACTTTTACCAAATCAACAGTTGCAGGGGCATTGGGCACTCCTTGGCAGACCCAATGCAACGAAGCTATGCCATGGAGTGTGAAGCAGTTCAGGACGCTGAACTGTGTACCTGCAAGCTGGGCCCCCTGAGGCAGCCAGATTAGAAAACGCTGGCCCCCTGAGGCAGCAAGATTAGTGCATTTACGGTTTCCACCTTTTGCTTGAGCACAAAGCTTTGCACGTTTGCCGCAATCTGACAAACTTTTGCAACAACATGCCTCTCTTTTTCATCTTGCACTCGTACTCTTGGCCGAATCCATCAGTGTGATCAGCGTGGGTCGTTGAGACTCCAGAGCAACGGCTTTCCGTCATGGCGCCGTGGTGACCCTCCGGGGAGACCGGTGATGAACCGGGTGTTCAGCCTTCGTTCAGATCGTTCAGATTCTCCCGATGCTACTTTATCTCTCTCTCTCTGATGCTCGCATGTGCGTCTGACATGAGTGCAGGTGCAGTAATCGACGTCTAGTGCAGTAACCGGCTGCTAGTGCACAGGATTACCTCGCTATTCTGTCCTCTATTCGATCGCTTCTTTATTTCTCAGGGACCGCAAGGGCATGTGCAACTGACATGAGGGCAGGTGCGGTAACATTTGTCTAATGCAAGTGAAGCAGCGCTTCCTCCGGGAAGTAATCGGCCCTCTTCTTTCTCTCCGTCTCCGACCTCTCAAGTCCGTCCAGCAGGGACAACCAGGACAGCCTGCACTTTGCTTGTGCAACTGTGTTTGTTTCACCAACTTCGTTGCAGCTATGTGGCCGGATTATTTTACCACGCAGCCACCAGCAACACCATACGCACCAACAACCCGACCGGTGATCAATCAGTGTCACCCGAACACCTGGGTACCGCAGTCACAAGGATACCCAGCAATGATGCCAACTGGCATTGCTGCCATTCAGCAGCACACACTGCCGACACAACCCACTACGATCCCTGTTGAGCAGACGCACAGCTTCCCCATGATGCCATGTGGACACAATGCTCCTATACCACAGCATCCGATGGTATACACACAACTCAGCACACCACAGCCCCAGATGCCACAACAACCTCCACCCCAGCAATTCATGTCGCAACATTCCCCCACTTTCTTGAACCCTGTTCCTTTGCCTACCCATCCAACGGTTTTTCCCACGACCCCATCACCTCTGACACCGCATCACTCCCAGCCTGCCACATACAACATTCCTTTCACACCACCTGCTCCACAACCCCAACCTGCACCTTGCAGCATCCCTTCCACACAACCCGCTCAACAATCCCATATACCGCCGCCAACGACCCTCCAACAAGCTTCACAATCTCACCCCACCAATGTTACCACTACCGATGCTGCACACATTGCCCCGCAGACACCGGCAATCACCCCCCAACCCCAGCCAATAAGCACAGCCAACACCCCCTCTGTCAGCACATTGCCACCCACACAATCACCACCCGCTACGGGATCGGGAGACACTGACCCGCTCGCAGCACGTGCTTCTTCCCACCATCCTCCGTTGCCACGCAGGCGACGGCGCTCACCCACACGCAGCAGAACCCGCACCGTGAGCACTAGACGCCGACGACGCACACGCAGCAGAGCACGACCTGCCAGCAGCGGGAGACATCACCGCCGACGCAGACACCACCGATCCCGCGACACCCGCAGAAGTCGTTCTCGCAGGGACACCAGGCGATCTTCGTCGACACCTCCGCGGACCTCGGTTGTGCTCCGCAGCTATTCTACAGTGCGTGATGTTGACACCAACAAGTGGCATTACAGAGCCACACAGCTACGTCAGAGGCCACCCACCCCACCCAAGGTCCCACAAAGGACATTGGCCTCGCAGGTTCAGCGAATCGCCCTCCGCATCAAGGGCAGCCAAGTAGCACAACAGCAGCCCCCAGCCGGACAGGGCACCTCCTCCCGCCAACAGGCTCAGCACAATCCCTCCAGCTCCGTTCGGACACCTGCCCCGACCTACGATGCATCAACAGCCGCTGCCCCATCGGGTCAGCCAACCCTCGAACAACTGGGCAAACAGAGCAGACCACCACAGATTGATGTGGTGCCATTTTCTGAGCTTTACGAACATGAGAAGCCGACTCCTCACGCCGTCGACATGGAAGAAGCTCACAAACTCGCCAAAACTTTGGGCGAGATAGCTGCTGACAGCGATTTTAGGCAGGAGACTTTAGCCGAATTTGCACATGCAGTGCTACAATCAGGCACGCGATCAGCGTGCAACGAACTTGGGGCAGTGCTGACGCCAATATCGGACGGCGTGCATACTATGTTATTCATTCCTTGGGCTGGAGAGCAGCGCAGAGCGTTCGGCACCCGTGCCACTGCCCCACCAGGAGAGACATACATCTACACCGCCGGACACGGCACGAGCATTGCAAGTGCCGCGCGCATTATGCGCGAGGACTTGGTCCGCCCAAGTTCAGTCAGACACTGCTTCGACGACAAGTCCTACCCACCCATTCCCTCTTGCGTCATTTACGGGAATGCGACCCCAGGAGATGTATCGGAAAGCACGGTCCATATAGTAACCGATCAATGTACACGGCGGCCGAAGGGCCAACAGGGAGTGATCGTCATCGGGACAATACGGACTAAGTATCAGCATTACAAGATGACGTATCGGGACATGTATAGAGAGGCCTTCATCGTGGGGCGAAAGGGTGTTGTGCGGACCCCAGAGAAGTGGGGATTCCACTCGGGGCATTTCAGCATCGTTGGATTCGGCCTTATTCAGTGATGTTCTGTATTACTTTCTTCTTCCGTGTCTTCCTTTCACTCTCGAGTATCATTTCTCTTCCAGGCCTGAATCCCGTTGCACATAGCTGTATGCAATCAAGCATTTGCTCCGACCCCGCTTTTGAGCCAAAGAAGAGACGATGCAGATGCATGCTGGATGCATTCCACAAGTAGATGCTGACACTCAAGCCAACTATGTTGTCCATGCGCGTGCTATTTGCAGCTTTTGCAGTCACAGGCAATTGTAGTGCCCCATTGTGCAACCATGTACAAGCCGACACAGCCTCAGTGGCACACAACAATGCCAACAGGCATCATCGGTACAGCAATCAGTGCGGTGCAGCGACAAACAGCTTCAACCAGCAGCACCCCAATGCACCCGATTTCCCCACCACCAGGGATCCACAACATCCCACCCCACACCTCACCCCTGACCCCAACTACCTGGGGTTCAGCTCACCCTTACAGCCACAACACCACTTTCCCCCCTTTCCCTCCACCCCCTCCCCCACCCCAGCAGTTTACCGTCCCAGCTTCACCCACCACACTGCCAACCCCCACGCCTGCCACTCCCCAACACACATTTGTGAGTCCATCCCCGATGGCGACTCAAAACCCCAGCATTTCTTCACATACATTGCCTCAGGCCAC